GGTAAAAGTAAAGAGCTCTCTCAAGACCTTCACAACCTTATTGTTGCAAAGCATAATGATGGCATTGGTTACAGAAGATTAACCTTCAGGGTGGATATAGCTCGCTAGCAGCCTCGCACCGAGGACCTATCCACGTCATCATTTACCCAGAATGCTTTGTGTGCAAATAAAACGGCTCCGTCCGTGTTAAAATATATATTTAAACTTTTAGTTTAAAAATGATGAAAACTAAACATCCTACAGTATTTTTACAGTCTTTATTTTACAGTTAAAATATATGTTTATCATAAAAAGTCTAATGTTACAACTAATTGGGGATCCCTTTAAATTTAAGTTCTTTTAAATACAAATAAATAGTGTAATCAGTGGAGTAATATTTAAATAAGAATAATTAATAAATTAATAAAAACTGTGTTTTTATAGGTGCTGATGTTCTGCCAGACTGTGTGGACCAGAACCAGCTGGCCAACTGCAGACTCATAGTTTACGCCCGCCTTTGCAACAATCAGTACTACTCCAGTTTCTGCTGTGCCAGCTGTTCCAGGCATGCTCAGARCAACGGCATGTCTGGTCAGCATGTRTTTTAATTATAACCTTCGCCAAAAGGACCAACCACTGAGCAGTTTGTTCAGAAACATGGTTCAGCTGAGGATTTCTACTGAAAGATGTCATTAAACGTGTGAATGAGTTGTTCTTCAATCAGCACTTTGTTCAGATTTCCTGAACCACACAAATCATTTAACCTGTAAGATCTGCTGAATGTACTGAGAGACACTGTAAATAAGTAAATTATTCACTGGATCCACACGTTCTCTGTTTTCTAGAGAAAAATTACAAATTATGTTTCTGGAAATTCAACCTCCATTTTACTGTTTTTATTTTTGAACACCTTTTTTATTGTCATGTTTTATTAGTTGTCATAAATGGAGTACATATTTAAGTGTTCGTATTTCACCTATTCTGTTTGATTTAAAGTTTTTGATAATAAAAGTATTTTGATAAAAACTGGGTGGATTTAGCTGATGTTCTAGGTTACACCACAAGGAGGCGTCTAACACAACACATGAATGTCAACTGCTGGAAATGACTAAGTGTGTTTCTTTGTCAGAACAATGATGTGTGTGTCTGTCTCCTGACACAGCAAGTATTTGGAAAATCCATTATTTTAGTATTTATTTTATGATTATTTTTGCACAGCTCAACTTTTGTTAAATATACATATTTTTGTCATTATCAGTTACAGAAGTTGTGTATTTGATGTAAAAGTTGAGAGTTGGTTGATGGTTTGAGGAAACTGAACATGTAGTTTTTGTTAAATATCTCTGATGAGTTGAGGTTTATGGCATTAATGACAATATTAACTTGGAGTACAGGAATTTACAAGCAATAAAACAAAACAAAACACGGTAACGATTTCTTTTATGGTGCACTTATTACCATGTAATTACAAGGTAATAAAATGTTTTGTGACCCCATCACATCGAAATGAGGATTAAGTCAAATTTGGTCAAAATGACCATCATATTTTCAGATTCTTGGCTTTAAAACTACATTTTGATACTGAGATCATCCTGATATCATTAGTAGATCCAGAGATATTATTTAATTTGTCTTGTTGGTTACAATAATACATAAATATTTGTCGTTTTAATGAAGATTTTTATGTCATTTTAAAAAAGAAACCTCAAATTGTATTTGAATATTGAGATTTCCCAGCTGGAAAGAAACAAAAGCTTTGATAGCTCACAGGGAAAAGCTTTAATTTTAAAACATTTTTCCTCAAAATCGTATTTTTTGTTGCTAATAGTCAAAAAAGTGCTTCAAAATTATTTTACAACAAGATTTCAGATAGTTCATTGAAATGATAGATTGGTAACACATATCTGCCTATTCTCCAAATAGAACTTTTAGACTTAATCCGCGTTTCAATATAATGGATCACAATTAAATGTAATTACTACCTTATTACCATGTAATTACATGCTAATTACGATACAAAAGAAAAAMCACTGTTATTAAAACTACCTTTTAATGGTAACTACAATCAAATTACTATTCAATAGTAATTCAGCACTACATTTATAACCAAAAGAATGTAACTAAATTTTGGGGTTAGTGGTTATTTGCAATAAAATATAACTTTAAAACTGTACAAATTACCTACTACTTATTTAGGTGTTACATAGTGAATTGTAATACATTACCAGGTAAGTGCTACATTACTGCAGATAATTAATTATATAGTGAAATTGTACTCTAATTACCACGTAATTACATAGTAATAAGGTTGTAATTACATTAATGATGTTTTTTATTACCTCGTAATTACATGGTAATAAGGATAACGTAAAAGAAAGTGTTACACAAAACACCTCCCTAGAAGAATGCAGGTGCAGATTCTCAGTCGTCTGGGTCATGATGAAACAGGAAAAGTTTAAAGACAAAACAACTGGACTTTTATTCTGCAGTTGAAGACTATGAAGATAGATATGTGTTGAAACCCACCTGAAAATTTTTGATTTGTAACTTGTAAAAAAATTTGTGTACCTGTGAAAAACAATTCACCTGCAAAAGTTAGATTTGTGTACCTGCAGAAAAGATTTGTATTTGTATTTAAAAATTTCACCTGCAAAAAAAAAAAAATTACACAAATATTTTCAGAATGTAAAGTCATGGAATAAAATGTTACAAATGTGTAAAATGACATTTACACAAATATAATTAACGTTACGGTTTTATAATTCATCATTTATTTGTGTGTTTTTTTCTTAAATTTGTGTGTATATTTTAATTTCAACTCAAAGTTACAACTTCTCAACTCTGCCACCCTCCTGTGACCCACATTTAAAAGATGTGCATAATTGTAGCTTTCTATCTGATACTTGTTACACACAGTTTCCTCCAGCCTACAGTTGTTACAGGTGTATTTGTTGCAAACTGTGCTGTGGTTTCTATTGCAGAGCTTCTGAACCTGACACGTTGTCTTCTTTCTGGGACCAGGCGAGGGACTGAGCTCTGTCATCATGACCTTTGCCAGCATAAAACACTGCCAGAGTTCCAATGCAAGTCCAGATATAAAATCTGTTCTGGTTTCGGTGGACCCAGTGCATGCCTTGTACAACTCATGTTATCATTTCCAGATCAAGCATGTTGTAGAAAACAGCAACGGGCCACCTGGATGTGATACAACACATCGCATACACTTCAAAAACTGTCCACTAACCAAGTTTTAAACTCTTATATCAGCCAAAAAGTCTTTTTCATCTTGTTTTCAGACTGATTTACTAAACAAGAACTGATTGTGTAAGAATAATCATCTTGTTTTCAGAATGTGTAAGATTATTTGTCTTGTTAGTCTGAAAATTTGACCCTAATTAAGTCAAACATTTCTGCCAGTGGAGTAAGAAAATTTTACTTGATTTGACTCAATTTTTTCTTATTTCAAGAATCTTACCAAGTAAAATTTTCTTACTCCACTGGCAGAAATGTTTGACTTAATTTGAGTCAAATTTTCAGACTAACAAGACAAATAATCTTACACATTCTGAAAACAAGATGATTATTCTTACACAATCAGTTCTTGTTTAGTAAATCAGTCTGAAAACAAGACCAAAAAGACTTTTTGGGTTGATATATTTTAAAACTTGGTCAGGTGGACAGTTTTTGCAGTGTACATACCTTCATGGAGTTGTAATGTGTAATAATGTTTGGTTTCAGTTTGCGCTCAATAACAACCAGCACTGGTTAGTTCATGGTGCTGAGAATGCAGACCAACTCGTTCTTCTCAGATCCACAGCATGCTTTATAAATCTGTGTGGAGCATTCTGCCCTGCCCTTGGTGTTTTTTCTGGGGAGGAAATCCCCCGTCAGATTCTGTTGATCATGTTGTGGTTCATCAGTCTGTTAGCCGGTGCCACAGACGTGAACAAGTGTTCCTTGGTGACAGTTCTTCCCTTGCCCAGAAATGGCTCCATTAATGAGTTTCCATGACTCAGACCCTCTTTCTTCTTCAGGATGACTGGGGTCCTTGCCTAAATAAAGAATGGCGTTGCACAAATACTTTGTCTCCAAGTCTGCAGCCATCCAGAACTTTATACCAAATTTCTCTGTAATGTGTTGTCCTGRTGCTCAGCACTGATGGCACATAAGTACAAAATGATGCCAGAAATCCAAAACTGCAGCAAATCTGTCAGTCTTCATACAATCAGTGCGGGGGTCCTTGTTGTCAAACCCCAAACCCCATGATTTCTTTTCTGAGGTTGCAGGACATCGTCTTCTTGTTMTCAGGTACAGAAAATTTTTCAGACCAGAACTTGATCCTCGCACCAATTAATGATTTATTCATTGAAAACAAAAAGACAGAACACTTTACTCCAAAAGTAATGCTGAATCAGATACTGTGTACAATTTTTTACTGTAGAAAAATCCTGTCATGTTCTTTGCAAATATACGCACCGCATCTTTAGAATGCAAGAATGTAAACAGGAGAGCTTGAGAAACAGTTAGGGAGAACAGTGAATGGGGGTGTCTGGGTTAGCAGCCTGCATACGCATAACAAATGTTCACTTATAACCCAAGGTTTTTTCAGCACAAGATTCACTAGTAAGGACCACACCATGGTAAGAGTTTGAAAATTTTATTGAAGGGAAGGGGTCGAAGGGTGGTGGGGATGAAGGAAGGGGTCGAAGGGTAGTTGGGATGAAGGAAGGGGTCGAAGGGTAGTGGGGA